CAACTTCCATAATAGGAGATTCACACATCGTGACACCCGTCTGCCCCCCTTCGCTCCACCCTCAGAGAAGGTAGGGCATATCGGTCTCCACCTCTCCACATCCTTATGTTTCGGTAAACAGTAAGCTCTCCCAATCGAACCATCCACCTTCCACTTGCCTACCCGATCCAATTCACTTTGCTTGTAATCGTTCTTACAAATTTCAAGCACCTTCTCTTCGTTGAGATCAATATGTGCAAAAGCAGGATTGCGCATTGAGTCTTGCGAGGTAGAGTGACGAACATCACACATATTTATCGCCCGCATTGTGATCAATCGGACTTCATGTCAGATTGGTTAGAAGGGAGAGTTTATCCATGACTTCTTGAGACGAATGTAGTTGCAGAGGACTGTGGGAAGAGACTGGAATAGAATTGAAGCATGAAAAAAGTTCCAGAGGTGAGATAGAAAAAAGCTCGACATAAAAATTGTCAAAACAATTGTCAAAAAAATCTCCAAAGGATTTCAGAATCTGGTTCCTCAGACTATGAGGAGAGGTGATAATGTCTGGACAAAGAACGTTCTTGGAGTTACGCATAATCTTTGGAAATAAAGTAGACTGTACAATGCGAAACGAGACGTGCCCATTAAGACGACCGAATTCCAAAGGGGCAGAACAACAGTTGCAGGCACAAGACGAAATTGATTTGCAGAACTTTTTAAAGTTCAGTATCCGATCTCCAACCGTCGAATTTCTGCACCATACTATCCGCATCCTACGGATAAGCATATTTTTCCAAGCTTCGTCAATTTCAAGTCGCCCGATTATTAAGGCACAAACTCGTCGAATCTTTGCTTTGCACAAAGTTTCATCATATATAATTCGTATGACCAATCTCCTTCTCACAAAAATAGGTAAGCACCTAAGAATAACTTTAGATAGAATTAACCTAATTCGAAAACGAGAGCGCTTCTCCCGAAGCACACGGACTGCTGAGAAAGCATAGACTAACTCTTTGAAATTCCACTAATACAGATCCCGCCTAGATGAGTGAAGGTTAACGGGCATACTAGTATTCAATATTTATAGTCTGAACGTTCAGCTTCTATACACAATTGGGTACAGACACTCGGATAGAGTGTAGGGGGGGGGGGTTCAGAATCTTCAACGTTTTCACCACTTCAAAATTTTCAGCCTTCACCGTTCCTACACACTCGGACAAGTGGGGGGTATACTTCAAAATTTTCAGCATCTTCACCACTTCAGAATCTTCAAAATCTTCAGCGTTCTACACACTTGCACAAGAGGGCGAACGCTAAAGATTCTAAAAATTCCGAACCGCCCCCTTAGAAAAACGCTGAAGATTCGGAACCCCCTCCTTAGAAAAATGTTGAAGATTCGGAACCCCCCCGGTTAGAAAAATAAAACGGGGGGGGGAGAGGGGGGGGGGGGTTCAGAATCTTCAGTGTTTCCATCACTTCACAATTTTCAGAATCTTCAGCGTTCTTATACACTCCAACAGAGGGGGGTGTACTTCAGAATTTTCAGCATCTTCACCACTTCAGAATCTTCATAATCTTCAGCGTTTCTACATACTCAGACAGGGGGGTGAACGATGAAGATTCTGAAATTTCTGAAGTGGTGAAAACCTTGAAGATTCGCAACCCCCTCACTTAAAAAAACAAAACAGGGGGAAGGGGGGGGTCAGAATCTTCAGCGTTTCAACCACTTCACAATTTTCAGAATCTTCAGCATTCCTACACACTCGGACAGAGGGAGGTGTGCTTCAAAATTTTCAACATCTTCACCACTGCAGAATGTTTAAAATCTTCAGCATTTCTACACACTTGTACAATGGGGCGAACGTTGAAGATTCAGAAAATTCTGAAGTGCTGAAAACGATGAAGATTCGGAACACTCCCCCTTAAAAAAACAAAACAGGGGGAAGGGGGGTGGTTCAGAATCTTCAATGTTTCCACCACTTCACAATTTTCATAATCTTTAGCGTTCCTACACACTCGGACAGAGGGGGGCATACTTCAGAATTTTCAGCATCGTCACCACTTCAGAATCTTTAGCGTTTCTATACACTCAGACAGGGGGCAAAAGCTGAACATTTTTAAGATTGATTGAACGTAGAGGTATTCCGCATTTTCAGCATGTCTGAAATCGTTGAAACTCTACTTCAGAGAACTTCAAAAATGCTGAAAGATTTCGAGTTCATAATTAATTTCAGCGAAGATTCGAAGTGTCGTTGACCATGTGTGGCCTAGATGAAGGATTACTAAGCAGCTTAGACAAAGGTAACTTGTGTAATACTTCGTACGACCTACGGGGGGGTTATCGTACGGTCGTACGTACAACCCCGTACGAAAAAAATAATATATATATATATATATTTTTTTTTTTTATTTTTATTTTTTTTGTGACGATGACGATATATATATTTTGCTGGCTTGTGATGGGGTGTGAACCAACAGTCTGTAGAGTTTTCCATCTGGTGTGGGTGAGTGATAGTCTACTTTGATTTTGGTTAAGGTAGATTATCATTTACAGTGTAATCAGTGAGCGGATTCTACAGACTGTTAGGGTTCAGCCTCCTGATGAGTCGGTGAAACTCCGACGAAACAGTTTGTCACAGCCCCTCGTTTGTTGTCCTCTTCTCTCTCTCGACCTACGGTTTACCGGGCAGTTCTATTTGTGACAATATATATATATATATATATATATATATATTATGCAGACTGTTGAGGGTTCAGCCTCCTGATGAGTCGGTGAAACTCCGACGAAACAGTTTGTCACAGCCGCTCGTTTGTTGTCCTCTTCTCCCTCTCTGCCTATGGTTTACCGGGCAGTTCTATTTGACGATATATACTACGACTAGCTTCCTGCTACGGTTTTCTCCGGTCAGGTCGAGCGGCAGTGGTCGGGGCCGTCACTACGCGGCCATGCTGTGCCTCTAGTGCCAGCGGCGTGTCTGG